ACCAACCCACAGCCCCTGCCCCCTGCATACAGTGCCCGTCCCGCAGGCTCCCGTAGTGGTTGGAGACGGCGATCAGGTCGTATTTGTGGGGCGCGGGGGCCACGTCTGCCCGGGGCTTGATAATGAAGTCAGAGAAGTCGAGGTCACTGCGAGGAGAGGAGAGGAGTTACGGGGGATTCTATCTGGCTCCATGCAGCCCAATGGGTGGTCCTCTTTTTTACACTTCCTGTCAACTGCTGTGCGTGGCCGTTCCCCAGCTGCCCCGCCCCAGAGATGGCTGCATCTCAGCGCCAGGCAAACAGTCCCCGTGCGGCATTATATCCAGCCGTTCGCCAGCTGCCCCGCCCCAGAGATGGCTGCATCTCAGCGCCAGGCAAACAGTCCCCGTGCGGTGTTATATCCAGCTGTTCGCCAGCTGCCCCGCCCCAGAGCCAGCCGCAGTTCCTCACCGGATGGGGAACTCCACAAGCGTGTCGAGCTTCTCGCGGGCGAGCCGGGTGTAGGAGAAGCGCTTGAGGTGGATGATGAGCACCTCAGGCAGCGCCCACAGGTCCAGCTTCTTGGTGGCCAGCTGGTGCCGCTTGCAGGTGGGGCAGTACCTGGGGAGGCAGGGGCAGGGTGAGCCCAGGCCCTGGCGCACACGAGCCCCCAGCACTGGTGCCCCCCCCCCCCGTCCCCGTGGGCTTGGCTCTCACCAGGGGTTCTCCTCCTCCAGCGTCTCCACCGTGGTGAACAGCTCGACGCACTCACGCAGCTTCACCGGCTGCCTCCGCTGCACGTGGCCCATGCACTCGTGTTTCACGTAGCCCTGCCGAGGGACGGGGCTGTCAGGGGGGGCCCAGAGCCCCACCCCACAGCGGGAAGTCCCGTGGGTTAACACTCTGCCCGAGCCCTTCCCCACCATCAGACCCTGCAGCTGGGAGGCACGCGGGTTAACGCCCTGGTTGAGCCATTCTTCCCACTCCCCATCAGTGAGGAGTCCCGCGGGTTAACGCCCTGGTTGCGCTATTCCCCCCCTCCCCTGTCACTCCCTGCAGCGGGGAGTCCCGCAGGTTCGCACCCTCACCTCTGCCTCCTCCTCATCGTAGTATCGCTTCTTCATATCCGAGTCCCAGTCAATGGCGATGTAGGGCTGGGCTGGGCAAGGGGAGACACCACGTTACCCACCCTGCGCACAGAGCCCCCGCCGGGGGACCCCCATCCCTGGCCCCCCGCGCCAGCCAGTCCCCACCCTGCCCCTCTGAGCCAGCCAGGCCCTGCCCTGGCCCAGGATCGGGGCCAGTGCCCCCCAGAGGGAACAGTCCCTGTCCCGCCCCACTCACTATGCAGCGCGAAGCCCTCGCCGGGCAGGGCTGGGCGCTCGCTGGTCCCGTTGGCGTTCACCGGGCGCACGGTGAAGAGCGGCCGCCGGCGCCGGCACTTGCGTTTGGGCCGGTTGGCAGTGGGGGGCGGGGTCGCCTGGGGCGGGGACGGGGTGGGGGGGCCCCCCGAGCCCCCACTGCTTCCCTCCTCGGCCTGGCTGGCAGGGCCTTCGCCCGGCGCCTCCTCCTCTTCATCACCTGGGGAGGGGCAGAGCCATGAGCTGGCACCGCCAGAGACCCCCTCTCCCCGCCCCAGACCAGCCCCCCACCCTGGGCACCCGGGGGACAGGGCCCCCACTGCCACCAGACACACGCCATGGCCACAAGCTGGTGTCCCCCAGCAACGCCCCCCAAGCCCATCCCGCCCCCCCACCGCCCCCCCCCCCCCCCCCCCCCCCGTCATGGGGCAGACCCCAGCTTTCGAGGGGAGGTGGCAGCCAGGCTGAGCCATTATTCACCTGGGAGGGGGAGGAGAGCAGACAGGCTGGATCAACCGCCCCGCCCCCCCCCATGGAATGATGGGCTGGCCCCACAGCTCCGGCCCCAACTGGGGAACCCCTGACGGCCTCTCCCGGCTCCCCTGGCCCACAATGCCGCGGGGCAGGCAGCCCCCCCAGCCAAGTCCCCAATACCATGGGACAGACAGTTCCCCCCCAACTCTCCCACCCTCCCCAGCCCCCAATGCCCCCCCCACCTTACCCTCGCTCAGCCCGTTGGCCTGGGGGCCGTACAGATCTTCCTCCTCGCTCTCCTCCTCGTCCTCCTCGGAGCCCGACTGCGGCCGCCGCACGTAGCGCCTGCAACCAGAGCCGGGGCCTGAGCCGGGGCAGGCCGGAGCCTGGGGCGGGGAAGAGAGGGGCCCCGTGGCATGTGGAGGGAACAGGGCACCCTGGCTGTGGGAGGGAGGGGTCCCCATTTCAGGGGGCAGCAGGGGTAGAAGGGCAGCACTCACAGCTGGTGCAGCAACAGGCCATAGAGGAGGTCTCAGGGGTGGGGGTCAGGGATCAGCAGGGTGTGGGGTCCCCGGGAGGCGGGGTGTGTCCCGGGGCAGGGATCAGCAGGGTGTGGGGTCCCGGTGAGGGGGAGGTGTCAGGGCTGGGGGTCAGGGATC